AGAAAAAGTCACTCAATAACTTGAAACACGATAACACAATCAAAATACTCCCAGCTGATAAAGGCAATGCTACAGTCATCATGGACAAAATTGAATACGACAATAAAATTGAACAACTGATAAACGATGGCAATTACACGAAATTAAATAAAGATCCTACAGCGAACATTGAGAGAAAGATACGCAACACTATAAAGAAACACGAAAATCAACTAACACTTGCGGAGAGGAAGAACATCTCCATATATCACAGCAAACCTCCACATTTTTACGGACTTCCAAAAATACATAAACCAAATATTCCTTTGAGACCAATAGTGAGTTCAATTGGATCTCCATGTCAAAATTTAGCAAGATTTCTTTTGAATATTATCAATCCTATATCAGGTAAGAGTGAGAGTTTCATTAGAAATACTCCTCATTTTTTAGAAAAATTGAACGATATCACATTGGATATAAATGACACTCTTGTTAGTTTTGATGTAGTGAGTTTATTCACAAATGTTCCTATAGATAAAACTTTACAAATAGTGAAACATAAATTAGAAGATGATGAAACTCTTACTGAGAGAACCAATCTGAGTATCGAAGGAATTTTGGAATTTTTGGAATTATGCCTAAAAACTACATATTTTCAATTGGATGATGAGTTTTATCAACAGAGTTTTGGCATGGCTATGGGCTCACCACTATCTCCAATTTTGAGCAATATATTTATGGAGAATTTCGAAGAAAACGTTATTAAAAATTACGAAAAACAACCAAAAACGTGGTGGAGATACGTAGATGACATCTTCATAATTTGGCCACATACCCTTATAGAACTAGATAATTTTCTAGATCATGTAAACAATGCAGAACCTACTATAAAGTTCACTTTGGAAATTGAATCTGACAATCAGTTACCATTTTTAGATGTTCTTATCAAAAAATCAAACAATGTTTTCTCAACAAGTGTATATCGTAAGAAGACTCATACTAACAGATACCTCAATTTTCAATCAAATCATCAGAAAGCTATCAAAAAAGGAATAATCAGATCACTTCATGATCGAGCCAAATCAATATCATCTAACCAACAAATTTTCAATAACGAAATCCACCACATCAGAGATGTTCTTCAACTCAACTCATATCCAAGGAACTTCATTGATAGAACGATTCACCAAATTGAAAACAAACAAAATACACCACAACAAAAACAACCATCAATAACGACGAATATAATACCGTACATTCCCGGCATATCTGAAAAAATAAAACGTGTTGGTGATAAGTTCCAAGTGAAAACTGTGTTCAAAACTGAAAATACAATGAGATCCATTCTAACTCAAACAAAGCCAAAAAATGAAGAACAATCATCAAAAAATTGTATTTATAGTATACCTTGTGTTTGTGGAAAGTATTATACAGGTGAAACGAAGAGACCTCTCTCAGTAAGGACAAAAGAACACAAGTACAATATCAAGAAAAGACATATCGATAAATCGAAGCTAACTGAACATATCCTCACTGAAGATGGACAACATATGGCACAGTGGAATAATATCAAAATCATAGGAAAGGAAGATAACAAACAAAAAAGAAAAATAAAGGAATCCGCTTGCATTCTTCTAAACGGAGACAATAGCATTGCTTCCTGTTCAGTTGATATTGATAGAACATGGTATTCACTACTGAAAACTGAACATGAAAATGGTAGATTCAAGATCAATTAATGAAAACATCCTGTAACTCATTTGTAGACTAAAATCACTCATTCATATGCCAACATCAGTATGACATTGAAAAGTGTCAAACTATACGCAGCAAAAATTTCAAAGAAAAATAATTTGCATTTACATGTTGAGAACGGGAGCAGAATCGGCCCCGAAACGTCCAAAGATAAGTACAAATTCGATATTTTTTCAATATATCTATATTTCTTTCCTTCAAAAATTTTTTCAAACAAATTGTCACTGACAAGCTACTGGATTTTTCTTTTAGACTCCCTGATAGAAAGATTTGTTAAACGCAGTGACATTTTGGGGCAAATCATCTGATTTGTCCCTCTACAAATATATTGAAATAATACGAATACTTTTATTTTATAGAAACGAGGAGAGAAAATCCCAAAGAACCAAGTAAAATGAATTCTTCAGATATATTCAACACTTTATTATCGGAAAACAATCAATATTCTACAATGGAATCATTTTATATAATTCATTTGTAATGAAGTGTTTTTGAACCAGTTTCATCACTAGACTGGTTTTGATTAATATCTAAGTACCTGAGACATGCTGAGACTGATTCTAGTTGAATTTCACTTGTTCGAAAGCTCTAAACCTGAGAGCTGAGCAATTCATCGATTCCTGACTCTCCAAAGCTTTTCCTGATAGTTTTTTCCCTCGTAACGTAACCAGCCAAGTCAGGTTAACTTCATGATGACGTCACGGTAACTGTATTATGACGTCACGGTTTACTTGTGAAGCTTGACAGATGTCACTTTATCGGCTGTTTTTGTTTATTGTTTGGTTTCAGTAGTAATACTGATATATTGAATAAGAAAATTATCATCTGTGAGAAAAATATATTATTTGATTGTCTTTATTACCCTAAGAAACATTATTGTTTATAATAGGGATATATACAACAAAACATACTTACCTATTTCAAATTCGAGAAAAATGGAACAATTCGCCACATACATACTTGAAATGAATCAAGTGTTTACTTTCATCAATAATATGATGAGATCTCTCATTGAAAAATACTTCCCTGTTATAATGTGAATAACTTTTTTCAGTTTGGAACAAATTGAATTTGGTTCACACTGTTCGATAGCCCAGTCCTTCAGCTATATATCTGGTAGTTCATTGAAACATGAGGGTATTCACATAAATTCTCTACATGGTGTTTTCCGACACTGTGCAAAATTTCGGAATATTCAAAAGCCTCTCAAATGGTGAAAAAACAATTTTTCTCAGCTTCGACAACAGAGGCATGAAGATGATCTCATTACCTCGAGATATTTCTCGAATCAACTTCCTATCTCTCTTATTCACAGAGTGATCTCAAAAAATCGACTTTTTGGTTTTGCAGTCATAACTTTTTTCCACGTCAACCGATTTTGGAAATCTTAGGCTCATTTTGAAGATAAAACTTCAGATGAAGAGATCTGAATATCAGAATCGACTCAAGATGGCTATCAACGATCTAGAGTTTTCTTGAAAGTGACCTAAATCTGGAACGCCCTCCGAATCTCGGTTGGGAGAAGAATTGAATGAAAATCAACTTGTCCTCGGAAAAACAATTCATTCTGGATGCGTCCATATTTTCCTCGCTCTCAGTACTCAAGAATGTGCGTGAGAAAACACAATTGAAACATGTTCTTGCAAAAACATCAGACCATTTCTCCTCTGTAATGCATGGCCCGTAACGAGGCCCGTAACCAACGTTACAAGAATCACAGTAAGTACTGACAAGTCAGGTTAGACGTCGTTTTCGAATCATAAACAGATTTTGATAGTTTCGATGCAGCATCTAACGCCCGACCAGTTGGAACTGATTCCACAAATGAGGAAACAAGGGTTATCTTCCCTCCAAATCGCGGATCTGCTAAACACGACGTCCGATCCATTCAAAGAGCTTATCTCCGACACGAATTGTTTGGTTATTACTGTCGATTCGTTCGGCGCATTATTGCGACTGAAAACTTTACGTAATTGGCAAACTGTTTTCGTGAAACTTTCACCATTTTTGGAATGCGTTTTTACAATAAATAAACGTTGTTTGTTTGCTCTCTATATTCTTAAATCACATGTTATGTACGTGACAACTGGTAAAAAAATCACTTTATTGAAAAAATCAAAATCCGTTGCTCTTGTTGGTACACCTTTCATGATGAGCCTCAGCTGGTCGGTCATTCATTGTGATTCTTGTAACGTTGGTTACGGCGGGCCATGCATTACAGAGGAGAAATGATCTAATGTTTTTGCAAGAACATGTTTCAATTGTGTTTTCTCACGCACAATTCTTGACTACTGAGAGCGAGGAAAATATGGACGCATCCAGAATGAATTGTTTTTCCGAGAACAAGTTGATTTTCATTCAATTCTCCTCCCAACCAAGATTCGAAGGGTGTTCCAGATTTAGGTCACTTTCAAGAAAACTCTAGATCGTTGATAGCCATCTTGAGTCGATTCTGATATTCAGATCTCTTCATCTGAAGTTTTATCTTCAGAATGAGCCTAAGATTTCCAAAATCGGTTGACGTGGAAAAAAGTTATGGCTACAAAACCAAAAAGTTGATTTTTTGAGATCACTCTGTGAATAAGAGAGATAGGAAGTTGATTCGCGAAATATCTCGAGGTAATGAAATCATCTTCATGACTCTGTTGTCGAAGTTGAGAAAAAATTTTTTTCCACCATTTGAGAGCCTTTTGAATATTCCGAAATTTCGCACAGTGTCGGCAAACACCATGTAGAGATTTTATGTGAATACCCTTATGTTTCAATGAACTACCAGATTATAGCTGAAGGACTGGGCTATCGAACAGTGTGAACCAAATTCAAATTGTAAAGTTATTCACATTATAACAGGGGCGACATTTTGGTGTGCGACGAAATTAGTGTTGAGTAGTTTAGTAATAATCATTCACAATTTGATTACTTGTAATGGATTATGATATTTTCATTTTATATTTTATTATAATTTTTTTTTTTAGGAAAAACAATAATTGTGCAATTATTATTGTTTCGATTTATTATGTTTTATATGTCTGTTTTGTTGTATATATCCCTATTATAAACAATAATGTTTCTTGGTGTAATAAAGACAATCAATCAATTATTGTTATAAATATTGCAATTCCACATCGGACAAAGGTTTTTTTTCGTCTCGAAAGTCCTTAAATTCAATCAAAACCAATGGGGTAGATTACTACCCCGCGCGGGTTAAAAACAACATGAAACTAGCCCTAATGAAAGACGCTGTATTTGTTCCTCTGAAATTTCAGTCAGAAGAGCGACGATCGACCGGCGAACAGAACGACACCAACCTGCACAACGTAACAGTATCCAGCAGCGTCGGCGACATCACCATCGACAGTGTCAAGGACCACCTGTCCGGCTCAGGTGAGGATCTGAACGGGCGACTGGCGAACGCCAGGTCGATCAAGGCGGCCGTGACCGCCGCCGCCGCCGAGATGAACGGCAGCGATCTAGAGGCGGCGGCGGATAGCTCAGAGTTGGACAGTGAGTGTGCTTCTTGTTTTTTTGTAGCGCTCGGTGGATGTGATTTGGTGGAATGATCGGCAGAGGGCATCATAGATGCTGTCACAATTTTTCTCTCGAGAATCGGAAAATTTGATCCTTTATGGTGACAATCTTAGACTAAATAACAATAGATTCATTTTATGAATCATTAAAAAACACGGATAAATGAATAAAATCGCGAATGGTGGGAATCATTGGTAGATAATTGATATTCTTCATAGACAGCGTCAAGGATCACTTGTCAGGCGCAGAATAACAGATAAATGAATGAAATCGCCAATGGTAGGGATGGACGTGCCGACGCTTTTCCGCAGACTGTTTAGTGTTGACCTCAGACTAAATGACGATAGATATACACTGCAATTCATTCATTAATCATTAAAATGTATACGCTAACAATCCTAAAAGCCAAACACGGATGAATGAATGAAATCCCGAATGGTGGGGATAAATCTGCGGAATCATTGTTAGAGAATTGATATTCTTCAATGACAACCAGTGACAGAAGGCATGACCCTAAAGAATTTGAAATGACAAGACCAATTTGGCGGGCACTGACAGTTCATGAACGTACATGACATTGAATTATTTGAAAATTCAGTTTTACAAAAATTAGAATGGCTAATTGTGTAGTTGAAAACTGCAAGAAAAGAAGCGAATCATTTAATTTATTTCATTTCCCCCATGATACTAAATAACAGCTGCAAAAATGGAAACAAAATATTAAGCTGCCATTATGGAAATTGAGTTCAGCCAGCAAAATTTGCGATTCATACTCAAGAAAAAATTCAAAGAGAAAGCCAAGATGAAATTAGCTGTATTTTAGATCACAAACAAAAAATTATGGAAGATGTAGGGAGAGATGCCAAAATTCAAAATATATTAATAGAGAATGATGAAAAATACAGAAGAAATAAAATAAAAATGAGGATGAACTGTTGAAAAATACCTTGAAACAAAAGACTCTGAAACGAATGCAAGTAACGAGAATTCACAGCTTTTATAAGAGTCTAATTTCAGATCTTGAACTATATCTCATCAAATATCTTTGGAAGACTGTGTTGAAACTACAAATGCAAAAATGCAGGCAATTTTCAATCAAATCAAGACCCAAATTGATAGTTTCAGTATATATTTCAACCAAAATCATAGTCAAATTTGGTATTTAAACACGCGAATCCATGAAATCGATGACAAATTGAAAGGTTTTCTAAGTAGAGTTGATACTTATCAGCAACATATGTATTTGTCGAATTTTCTAATCTATCATGCACTAGAGAGTGTCTCAATATTTTATGAGAGCAAATATAAGATTGTTAATTGGTTGTATTGTTCTTTCCATTTATCTACATTTTGCTCAGCAGAACTGGGCTATTGAATCCTGACTCTTCTATGGAAAAACCAGCGTATACTAAAATTAAATAAGTTAAAGTACATATACCACATATACACCCTTTGTTCAGTGTATATTGAGACATCCTATCAATAATTGAAGTTACAAACTATCACCCATTTTTGCCAGTGAGATGAGACGCCACTTCTCTATGAAAAGAAATACAGAGAAAGATATATGGATGTACCCTTCACCGCGGCAGTAGAGGAAAGACGGTCTGAAGTGCATGGAAAAACATATCCATGTCTTTGTTCAACCAAAAATCTTCAGTCATTTTGAGAATTTGGGGTTATGCCTTCTGTCACTGCTTGTCATAGTGTCCGTACTCTTATTACAGCAAAACTGTCATGAATACAGGGACTCTAGACACGGCGATTTATTTATGAATCATTAAAAAACACAGACAAATGAATAATAGTGGGGAATAACGGAATAACTCTGCGGAATCATTTTACAATTCCGAGAAAAAATCGACAATAATCATCGTGTTCAGAGTATTTGCCTTCACCAATTCATATCCACCTTAGTGTAGAGCTTTTTGTTTTCGTTGCTGTTCTGCCTATTTGTATTTGTTATTGCGAGGATATTTCTGTTTCCAACTTTTCGCAATTTTTTTCGCACATGAATCAAAAATTAAATTAGTTTCCATGGTTTCCACCGAATTCATGTAAGAAATAAAGTGAATATTCAAGATATGAGTCATAAATATGTTTGTTGATGATATATCACCAATGCCAGGTATCGGGCCAACCTTGTAACTTCCGCGTTCGTATACGGAGTTTTTTGAAATTTGGTACAATTATTTAAGCAAACATTTCGGATTCGATCACATTTCCGTTTTTTTCTGGAAATACCAACAACTTTGTTTTTTCGTATGGAATTTCCTGTATATTTTTACTTATTCAAGTATAACAGGTCAAACCAAGTGCAACCTCTATGTCAAATCTGATTTTTTTTCGAAATAATTAAAATAAAATCAGGAGGGGTGAAAGAACTCACAGTCACAACTGCACCACATAAACAATTTTATAATGACCAACGATCATGGACAAAAGGACATGTTTAAAAGGATGAATCCTTCAACATCTGCAAATTTATAAAGAGAAGAAAATCTGTAAGAAGAAACAACGCTTAAGTTAGTTTTCAAGTATTGTTGAAAAAACCTGTATATACCTACCATTATTGTTGGAAAAATATTACTTGAATAACACTATTTTTAAACTATTTTCAAACCGCGCATAGTGCCGATGGGTAGCTGTTAGGGAACAAACATTATAACAGATCTATGAGAGCCTAGTTTTCAAAGATTGTTTGATATCAAGAAAATTTAAAAATGAACCAACATGTGTGTCTGAATTTGTTGAATTAGGTTAACTAATCACAAATGACAATCGACAAATGACACTTGACAATAATGACGCTGAGAACGAAACACAGCAAATTAAAGTTGTTCATCCATTTTACCTCGTAGATAAAAGAGATGTGGTCAAGGCTATTCACAATGAGTCCCACATACTAGAAAAACAATTTTTTCAGTAAAAATATGTTGTGTCAATTATCGATGAATCAATTCAGTCATATCACATTTTTATTTGTAATTCATTTGTTTCAAATGGAACCCCTATGGGCCACCTACATGTCTCTCTAGAACATACGTTAAGGAAAAAAATTACACATCATTAATGTATTTCAGTGCAGTAACAAATTGTATACAACCAAAAATCAACAACTATTTCACAAAGTGTAGCTCGAATAATTTCGATTTTTACGATAAAATTACATTTGACATAAAGATTGCACTTGTTTTGACCTGTTGAACTTGAATATGTAAAAATATACAGGGTGTTCCATTTGAAAAAACAGATTTGCTGGCATTTCCAGAAAAACCGGAAGTCCACCATATTGGATTGTAATGTGATCAAATCCGAAATCCAAATTTCAGAAAAATTCGTACAGTGGCCCAATACCCAATTTGCAGCCTACCTTGCAATATTAGGGATTTAACTCAATGGGTTCTACATTCAGACAATAAGAAATTAAAGCAGAAAAAATTCACAATAGATATGTTTGGTTTGCTCACAAAATACACTTCGGATTAACAAACATTTTGATCAATTTCAAAGTTAATTTTCTCGCGAACTGCTGACTGGATTTGGACAGTTTTATCTTCATTGTAGCTTCAATCTTCAATAAGACGTTGACGTTATAAAAAAAACAAATTCAAGTTTTAGGCTTATAGAGATTGATTACAGAAAACCCAGTTTTATACTCAATTTTTGTCGCATTCTGTGGTAATTCCCATCAACACTAGGTGTCTGTCTGAATGAAACAATAGACCCATCTTTTCTCAGCATTACAGAAATGTAGGGGGTGATGCCTCGTCTTATTTTATGAAAAAAAAGTGCATATAAACATCTGTCCTGACTTGCTTTGTTTTGAAGATATTAGGATATTAATGTTTCCATAAAAACATCTTTTTTTTATCACTCAAAATTTTTTTTTGTCAATTCAAATGAAATTTTGTGGTTTTATTAACTGTAACATGAAGCCGATTCCGGTGTAATTAAACTGGAAATAATAATTCCAAGCAAGCAAGCAAGTGTTTTTACTGCGGAGCTTTTCGCAATAAAACAAGCCCTACATTACACCAGACTCACTCAGCTCCATAAAAGCTATCGTTGACACGTATAACAAGGACCCACTAGTACAAAGAATCCATGCATTGATATATTATATGCACACGCTGGGAAAATATGTGAAATTTGCGTGGGTCCCTAGTCATATTGGAATAAAGGGAAATGAGAAAGCCGATGCAGCTGCGAGACAAGCAGCAGAATCCAGAAATATTGAAGATATACCTATACGTCCCGATGACGTCAAAAATAATCTGAAACAAAAAGTATGGAAAAACTGGCAAACTCGATGGAATAGAACTGATGCAAAACTCAAGATAGTTAAACCTAATGTAACACCTTGGACTCATCAGGGAAATATGACTAGGAGAGAAGAAGTAGTCCTGACCCGCCTTAGGATAGGACATACGAATATAACTTCCATGTTCATGCTTAGGGGGGAAAGACAACCTAGATGCCAGCTTTGTAATGTGATATTGTCTGTCCCGCATATTCTTATTGACTGTCCGCAGTACCATGCAATAAGACAACAATTTTGTTCACCACACAATATCAATTTGTGTTTGAGAGACTGGCCCAGTATGTCAATGAGAGTTATTCAATATTTGAAAACTATTGGGATTTTTACAAGAATCTGAGCAAATCATTCTTCTATCTGTGATAACATTATGCTGTGATGCAAGGGTGACGAGATTTTACCGTGATACCTCTGTGATAATATTATAATGCGATGCTGATAGAGATACCTGTGATATTTGAAATCTATAGTCTGTGATATGATACTTTTCTAGTCATCTACTTATATTTCGATATGAATTATGTTGTCATATCATAACCCTACGAATATTATTACATTTAAAGGCTAATGACCATAAGCAGTCGATGCCTTGCTTGAAGAAAAAAAAAATAATAATTCCATTGGCAACGCTTTGGGTTCTCTATCGAGATTCATGATGAAAATCATTGTACGGCAATGATTTTTGTTTCATAGTATATCAGATTGAATAATTGGAAATACAACTCTCTTGTTCCTTGAGTTAATTTTGTATCTTGCTTATTTTTTGAGGAATTAATTAGGATTCGATTTCACTACAATTTTTAGGTGCTCTCAAGACGAGACCCATTGATGTTATTCAATAACCTCAATGTGTATCATCCTGAAATTCGGAGACTTTGTCAAGACAGTATTTGGCCACCATTAAAACCTATCCAGGGGAATGATACAAAGCAACATGTTTCTTTGAACTTTTTTCTCATATTATGACAAGGAATCACCTCATAGTTTTTTGCAGTTATTCATTAATATCCTGTATTACCTAGGTTAAAATATTCGAGTGGAAACAAAATATTCCTATGTTTATTACTTTTCAATGAAAGCTGTTGACTATTCCTTCCTTTGCACTGCTTGATTATGTTTTTTCTTATGCTTTGTAGTTATAGAGAGTCAGGAGGACCGCTCAGCAACAAAATTAGAGGTTAGCTATTCCCTCACAATTTTTCAATAATGATGCTATCGTCAAGGGGTGATATTATCTAATTTATATATTGGTGTCTCCCCACTAACCATCGAGTTTGTGATGCTTATTAATAGTATAGTTTCTTTCCTAACTATTTCGGAAAGTGATATGAGAGAGCCAACGGCAGCTATCAACTGAATGCTGGCGATAACTGTATTTGTCTTTGTTACACATGCAGCCATATCGATAATTCTTCCTCTCTTTCATGTCACTTTCAATGTTCTGTACAAGAGGGGTAAGGCAAGGGCTGATCTCCTAGGTAAGAGTCCAGCCGCTACTCAGACAGTACATAATCCGTTCTCCCTCCTAATCCACAGTTGTTTCTGAAACTACCCGAACCAGACAAAGCTTGAGACATGACTCACTTAACATGGGCAAAATGGCCAAGAATAACTGAATGGAAAACCGATGGAGAACTATTCAGTAATCTTTACTATAAATACATGACTAACCCACGTAACAAGAGCATCTGATGAAACTCAACTACACTCATCATTGAATTTTCATTTAATCTTTCATTAATTTCTCTGTTATAAACATGTATGTTTCTTGGAAATACTGAAGATTATTATTATTATTTATTTACCTCACTTAACAACCACTCTTTGAACATTTATGATTATGAAGTGCTCTCTTTGCATTGATGATACCTCCGAACAGTTGTATGATCGAAAAATGATACAATAGTGGGTAGAGAGGGGGTAAATATCGCATATGAGGTAAGCATTGAAAGGGGGTAGGCTAGTGATACTATTCAAATAACGTCTATAGACGTTTTCTCCCTCTCTCTCTGCCTACCATTGTACATACTATTCAAGTAACGGCTGGACTCTGCTATTGAATAGGTACTGTGTAGGTAGGTTAATGAAACATGATGGAATATTGATTTCTCTGGCTTTTTGGGCTTTTCTCTTTTCGTCTCTATACATGAAAATACCGCCATATATAATTGGTATTAAGAACAAATCACTGCATTTCAAATTTCATTATAAGGAACCTAAGAGGAAAACCCAATCGAAAAAGGAAAATAGTTATTAGTAATCTCTTTGTTCTTTATTTTGACATTTCTCAGTGACTGGAGTTGTGATAGTCCATTTTCAGTAAGAATATGAACAGCTACTGTATATACAATTTGCAGATGATTTTTCTCATTTTTTTGGTTTTGCTCGAGTAAGAATTGATCTCATTGTATTTTCAGTCTTGAACACAGTTTTCTCTGAAAACTAATCACCAACTCGTTTTATTTTTTCAGCTAACCCGGGAGTGTATTGTATTACATTTGTTGTCATTGATAGTTATTTCTTATAGTGGAATTCAAAGTGCAGCGACATTTTGGGGCAAATCGATAAATAATTTTGTAGATCGTAGATCGCCCTGTATCTTAGGAACGATGAATGCATGATTCCGATGAAACTTTGTATTAGAATCTTTTGGAACTCTCCAAATTTGAAATGCATCTTTTTTTTCCAGCACACGCAGTGATTCTGATTTTTTGTAGTTTTCTATAAACTTGAAAATACACTAAATGAATCGGGCTTATTATTTTCCAGGCATTATTCTCTTTCCATACAAATAGATATGGGTTAACCTGTCCAAGTATTCACATAACTTGCAAATGATCGCCCCCTCGGTTTATGTAACTTCCTTTGAAATATTTATGGAACTAATTGTTTAATTAATAATAACTAATGGTTTTTATGATATCTACTCATCACAACTAAATACATATATTTGCCCATTGAACTCATGGTAGCAGATGAAGTAGTGGTGGAGGTTGTTAATTTAAAATGTACGATTTTGATGGAGATTTTCCCCTTTTTCCTGATTATTTGTAGTCATGTGGTTCTTTTGTGAAAGAATGAAATATGCTTTTTGAATTTTCAGTTGGACTTATGAACTGGTAAACTTTTAAAACAATGAAATACTACAGGGTAATAATCCTTATATATGTATGCCTCACTTTGAACGCCCCCCCTCCCCTGTATCTCAGCTATTAATCGTACGATTCTTGCCAAATTTGGACTGGTATGAATTACTATCAATATGATCAGTTTTTCAAAGACAAAAACACCGACTTATAGACTTATCTGGACCGCCAGTCGCCAGTTATATAAGGAAAAAGGTGAGCCACTCAGGAAATTGAACTGGTGAAACTGAGTGCGCATGTAGGAACTGTCATGTTACACTCATGAATCCGAGGAATATAGGCGTATCGAAGGAAAAAGGTTGGGAGGGGTCTACTATGGAAGGTTGATAAACCATACATAAAGTAGTGAGAAACGAATGAAATATGACGTATGTAGGTCTCATAGCTTCCAAATACTCAGATTTGAGAACTCAATTTCAAAAAACGACAATTTTGCATGTGGTTTCAATGTCCTGGAATTGCCTAGAAGCATCAGAAAGCTGTCTGGCGTAAAATGGTCCGAACATAATCATCCTTCCTGAGTGGTTAAAGTCCAGTAATGGTCTCCTAATAGCCACAAACCATTCATTTCTCTCATTCTTAGGAATGCTAGAATCATTATTGATATGAGAAAACTTTTAATCGAAAATCGTCTAAAATGGATGGCACCTCACGCCTGAACTCAAATTTTTCACAGCTGAAAGAATATACAAAACATGCATGATTCCATTTGATTTAAATACTTGCACAAATGATGGAAGCAAATTAAAATAATGAATTATTCATTACCCACAAACTCACCGATGAAAAGAAACATCCTCAGTATTAATAATCGGGGAAATCTTCATATTTCCTAGGATTGGCGAAAATAATACGAAAAAAGCAATGTCACCACTCAATTTTTGATATAATTTTCATTAAGCAGATCCCTCATCCCTTGTCCTGCCTATGAACAAAATGGATGCTAGGTTGATTTCAATACCACGTCAGTCATGAATGACAGCTTGGAGGTTCCTGCGTATTGAGCAGAAGCGTTTTCAGGCGAGCAACTGACCCTACATTTTCGTGTTGCTGCGATATGATTACTAGCAGCCTAGATATGTAATAAGTCGGTGGACAAACATCATTTCGAACAGTGCCGTGCGTTTTAATTGAATTGAAAAAGGGTCGGTTTTTCATGAAATCATATTAGGCATTTTTCACGGGAAAACTAACTTCATAATATTGTTCTTCATGGTTTTACGTGAATTTTCATGTACTATCGGAGGGTTTCGAGAGAAACAAGCACATCTGAACAGCATTTTTGCGTAGGTAGATAATTATCTACTCGGAAACGGCGAGTTCAACAAAATGGTATATCTTGTTTTTTCTAGCAAAACATAACTTCCTACCTACCGGAGCCATCGAATGTTCTAACATTTGCAATTAATTTGAAATCATTATTATTTCGAGACAAAAACTTGAAAAATAAAGCCTATACAGGTAATTTGGAATGAGTCGAATTTTTGCATATGGACAGAACGAATAATACTGTAATGATGTTCCCCTTAGAGGGGCTTTAGAACATCATCAGGAAGGCAGGAGTACAACGATCATCCTGTATCACGCACCCCAGATTGTTCTCCAACATCACAACTAACATGTACCAGTGTATTTCTGAACACCCAATATGTGTCACGGCGACACATAACCTGACAGAAGAATCTGGAAGCTTCTAGAATGAAAAAAGGGTAAGGAAAATCATTAGAGAACGTTCGAGAAGCAAAGCCTACCAAGGGATCTGATATACAGGCTGATTCACGGTGAATGGCACATCAGACGTTTCTGGAGAACGCAACTCAGGATTATTCTGAAAAGTTGGTGCCTTGGATAGTTAGTTGTGTTCTATCGACCTAAAATATTCTCAGTGTTGCGACGTTGCCGCTTATACTGAAAAGTACCAACAACTTCGAATTTTTGAATGAGACACCCTGTATATTATTCCATTTTCAGATTTTCCTTGAAAAGCTGATTCCATTCATCATTGGTCAAAACGGTTGCTAAGTTCGATATAAATTAGTGCTCCTTTAGTTAAAATAAATCAGTTCGAAAATAAATAGTGTCGTGTTCGCTTCTGCACCCGAATAACGTAATTCTATGAAATTATTTCTTCTGCGAAAAATGCCTGATATGATTTCATAAAAAATCGACTCTTTTTATTTGAATACAAACGAACCGAACCGTCGATAATGATGTTTGTCTCTGAAAATCTGATCATACTGATTGATGGTTATTTATATAAGTCCAAATTTGGTAAGAATCGCACCACTAATAGCTGAGATATCGAGGGGAGTGGGGCTGTTTAAAGTGAGACACGCTGTATAGGAGATTTGAGAAACGATGGTATTTGTCAATATGGCAGTAACGGATAGTTTCGCTCACCGTTGGACAGTTGAGCGCATAATGAATGTCAGTTTTCATGCTGCTCAGATATTCCAGTGGAGACATATGATAGCAGAATCAGCCTCTTGCCATGTTGCCATTCACATGCCCTGTATGTAACGATTGGGAAAACAATCTGTATAATATTGCGCGTGATTGCACAATTTTTGAAAGGCTCACGTTGTAACATATTTTTTTCTGAGAACAAAAACATGCCAAACAAGCAACATAATAAGGAATTTCTATTTCGATAATCATCAATACATTTGTATTGCATATGATTTTCGATTGAACGTTTTGATTGTGGGCCAGTTCACAAGAATCCCTAACGATACTCAGTTCTGAATTTCAAAATAAAAGGAAAATCTCATTCTGAATTACGACTAGAAATGGTTCATCCTAAAATAATTTGAATACATTTATTTCACATGAAATTTATCGAATGATTTCTTTCAGGTTAGAGAAATACAAGTGAGTGATATACTGCTCAGAGCCCCCATAGCTCTGGCTGAAGAGGATTCCTGAAACTTGTGAGTTCCGTTAAATGGTGTCAATAACATGCCATATCAACATGATCAGTATTTCGAATTAACAAGGTTTTTTTCTATAACTTATACCACTTTGAAAATTTAGTCTCAATAAGTTTTAACAACTATTATTGTTTCTGTTTGTCTTTTTCTAAAAAGTATTGTTTTTGTACTTAATTGTATCTTTTATAAATAAGTAGGAACTTTTATTATATTTCTGAATTATAGGTAATGTTGATGCGAAATGCTGTTCACGTTTCAAATCTAGGTTATTGTATTTTTTTTATATTTATCTCGTCATATCATTGATAGTTTTATTAATAAATATAAATTACTTATGTTTTTCAGTATTTTGAACAAATAATTGACTGAAGCCTCATTAAAATATTCATTATCAATCATCTTTTTTCGTATTTTCATCTTAACTGAATAAATGCTTTCCGGTTTTCGAAAATTTTATATACCTAAGTAATATTTTTTCCACAGTTTTATTGTTATTTTAGGAAGTTATGCATTTAAGAGATTTGAATGTTGAATAATTTGTTATATTTATGCATATTTTTAACGAACTGTGGTTAGAAAAGAATTAGCAGCTTTTTATACAGAACATGGTGGAGGTTATAGAATGATGTGTGAATGAAATTAATAAGTTTTATCAACTAACAAGAAACGATTCATGGCCTTGAGTTTTGTTATATTCAATAATATTCTTATTGTATTCACATTTTATTAAAAGTTTATATTATTCATCATGATTTCACATGACAAGAGTGCATCACTACAGTGAGTAAAGTTTTTTATCGATAAAGAAGTGTTTTGTTTTTCATATCGTCCTGCTTGCTGTGAACTCAAATACAAAACTGCTGAAAATGTAAGTATTTAGACTATTTGCATTTTTAAAATTACAAAGTTCCCGCATTAATAACAAATGATGATAACTATGATACGTTGCGCAAAACAATGCGCGAAGTAATACTATATGAGATATTCATATTCCAACTTTATGGACCTCAATCGAGCAAACATCCACGAAATCATCTATTTCTGAATGTTCAACAATAACTTTGTTTTATCTCTTGGAGTGCACGAAAGGAAATTCCTATTATGTTCGTGGAACATCGTGCGTACCTAGGGAGGATAGGGGGAGGCCTTTTAAGCCAGTTCATCACTATTTTTTTTATCAAGCTAAGCACATTTTTACTTTAGAACTGTTTTTTTCTGACGATTTTAGAAAAAATGTTGTTTGCAACTCGAGCGCGAAATACTTTGGTCATCTCGACCATTTTTGATCTTGATCACCAAAGTAGCATTTCACCCTCTAGATACAAAAATAACTATTTTCAATAAGAATAGAACATCCTAGGCTCTCTGGCATAATTTTCAATGTACTACTTTATGTATTGAAGTTATTTCTCCATCTTTTGGAGCGCACGAAATGAAATCCTTATTTTCTTCGAGGACCATCGTGGGTACAAAAAGATGACATTTAGAATCGATAGGCCTGTTCGTTTGTATTGCGGAACTTGCTAAAGTTGATTTTTTTCCATAGTTGTCTGTTCATTGCATGATGTAAAAAGAGAAAGTCATAAAAAACCGAGGGGCATTTCGCTGAGGAATTTTGGTGTTGACTCATGTGGAATTACGAGGAATTGAGAGGTTTTATGAGGCATTGTGAGGTATTACGAGGAATTGTGAGGTATTACGAGGAATTGTGAGGAATTGCGAGGAATTGTGAGGTATTGCGAGGAATTTTTGGCGTACGAATAGCGCGAAGACCTCGATTACGTCACTGCTCGCGTGTTCTTGTTATGTTAGCAGCGAATCTTCAGTAAACTTGTGGAGGATAATAATCACCCTGTAGATATTTTTCAAATCAGTGGATGAGGTATATGTGAAAATGTTGATGGCCATCGATATAAATAATTTGTCGGTATAGCTTTTGAAAAATAATTGTAAGTAATTTTTTATTTTCTGTTCGACTATCTTCATTTATTTGAATCAATGGCCATCAACATCTAAACAGATACCCCATCCACTGATTTGAAACATATCTACAGGTTGATTAATACCCTCCACAAAAAATGGAATGACGAAATCCAGGCCAGGAAATGAAAGAGCATTTTATTTTCATTTTTGCTTATAATTAATAGTTTCTTGAAAAATTCTGTGAAAGTGTGAGGAGAATTTTGAATATTTTAATCTTAATGCTTGTTTGTGTGCTTTGAAAATTCCCTGTCACAGTTTACATAAACCATATTCAGGATGAAACTAAACTATCGAATTTTTTTCAAAACGGTCCTGGATTTTCCCGATTCTGAATAGGTCAGTCGATTAGGGTTTAGTCTCGGGTTTAGTAGAGAAAAGAAGGAGCTGTTGAAAAGTTATGAACAAAAGATGTTTTTGCCAAATCTCATATTTCACCCTATATATTGGTGAAGAAGAGGAAGACACTTTCTGATGGGAATAGCCTCAAGGCCTCTATTCGTGGTAGGAGTATATACAGTACCTCATGACTCACCCTGTATACTGAATGCTGGTCTATACAAGTATATTTTTCATAGAACTCCGAACTCCTTATATTCTATATTCTAAGATCAGCGTGTTTTTATATCGGAAGAATATGGAAGAATATTTTCGTACGCCGTATTGTATTGTACTGGATATGGACATCATCCATTTTATTGTCATGCATAAAACATAATATTCCTATTGCATAAATATCAGCAATCATCACAAAAAATATATAAGGAATTATGAGGTATTGCGAGGAATTGCCGAGGATTTTAGAGGAATTACGAGGAATTGCGAGGTATTATGAGGAATTGTAAGGAATTGTGTGGTATTGTGAGGCATTACAAGGAATTAATAGGTATTACTAGTCTATAGAGGGAATTATGAGGTATTATTTTGGCATTGAGTAATCAGTGTACAAAATTCTGCTCAGCGAAATGCCCCTCATAGAAAACAATCAAGTTCAGCAGGTAGAGGAAGCACAAACGAACAGGCATGTAATTACTTTTGAAATTATGCATCGCCAAATCATGCAGACTCGAGTTGAAAGTACTCATCATGGTACTGTCTTGCAACAAGTACTCCGGGAGGATCTCTCTCTGTCTGGCATAATTTATAATGCACTTATTTCTCTATTCAAGTTATTTTTCAATCTTCTGGAGCTCGTGAAAGACGTTCCAAGAGCATTGTGCCGTTACCTGGGGAGGATAACACAAACATTGTAATAATAATAAATTATTTATTCCATACACTGGGTATTCTTAAAACTAGAAACTGGGATCTATTACTATAAATCATACAAAATACATTTATACAAGGATAAAAAATAATATTGATTGTGACTAGTACAATAATTCGAATTTTGGTTTCAGAGCAACCAAGAAAAACGAAACGAGAACATTATAGTTCAGTAGTAATTTCATCTTGCGGTCGGAAACCCAACTGGCAAAAGTCGTCTTCCAAAAACACGGAATTATTGAGGTACTCTTTACTGTTCTTCCACAAAGCAGGATTAAACTCCGACGAAGGCACATTATTAGCAACTAAAGAATACTCAAACTTCCACTGCGGATTCAACGGCAGATGACATTTAGAATCGTAATTACTATTGAAATTGTTTATCGCCAAATCTTGCAGACTCGAGCTGGAGCCGAACGCCTGGTCCGGCTTGAAGGTACTCATCGTGGTACTGCCCCGCAAGGAGTACTCCGGCTCGGTGTCCGAGCCGGCCGATAAAACAGGGCCCTGCAGGAAGTTGATCAGCTGAGCGACTTGAGGCTGAGATGTCTCGCTCATCCTCTTGTAGCGCTTCAGCGCCTTCTCTGCCCAACTGAAGAGGCGCTCCCAGTCGTCGGGCATGGCCACCTGAGGACAGTCAAATTAGCAAAAATAGAAAAAATAATGGCCGGGTCTACAGGGTGTCTCTAAGGTCTTTAACATGTTGGCTGTCACTATAATAGAGTTGAAGCGCTCTGTCAGGGGTCAAGCTGACACAACTGGAAGGTGGACTGCCGTTTTCTCGAATAGCACAGATTGTGTCAGGGGCAGCTGCAACAAAGATAGCTTTTGTGTTATGGTAACCTGTCTCTTTCACACTCATGTTGTTTAATGGCGGATTGGTGTATACATTTTCTTTTATCCAATAATTGGAGTACTTGAGTTCTTTTTTTTCATCTGACAAAAAAGTTAAGACAACCTCATTGTTGTTAGTTATGTGAAATATCGCTGAATTTTGCGTGATTTGTTTCTTCAAAAGGACTGAATTCGTGTGTGGATGTTCATGGATTCTAAGGACGATGTTTTTCATATGGACATTGATTTGCCAACAACTTCCAGCTCCTAAGTTTCACAGTTCATTGATAGGGAAAACACTAAAACAAAAAGTAAAAAGGGGAATGACAATCTTGATGAGGTAATAAAAAACATTTTGAAAAACTAAATGTTCAAATTTTTTAACTCAAGAGCAACATCATATTGTCTTTTAAGGTTTTCCTTTGGAGCTTCTCCTTCTTCAGAAAGGGAAGTTACTCTTTCACCCTATACTTCTCAACGCCCTGTGGCAAAATTGCGTGATTGAACATGGCTTCATCATGCTTCGGATTGAAGTGTGATCCCTTCAAAAGTTTTCGATTCACGTCAATATCATATTTTTAAAAGAAGATACGAGTGTTTTAAGGAAAAGTATGGTATTGTTCAACTTTTTTTATCAATAATCAGAACTTACATGAACTTATTGATTAACAACTTCAAGGATTAATATCACTTATTTCTACCTCACTTTCTTAGGACTTACCGGAAAATCAATTACAAAAAACAAACAAGAAGCAGACCTGTAGTCAATAACGAGTACGCTCTCCTCGATATTGAATTACAGCATTCAACCACAGCATTCAACTGCAGTGGCATCGAATTGATCAAATTACTCAAGTAGCCTTGAAGAATATCTGACAAGGCTGGGCGAAGGCGAATGAGCCTCTAGAGGTCACC